TCCAGCTGAACCAAGTCTCTGTCAGGCCCAAGGAGCTGATGTGCTCATGATGAGCATGTCCTGGCTGAGTCTAACCAGCAGGGGGCGCTGCTCAGTGTCAGGTGATACAACAGTGTCTGTTACCAGCAGCCATCTCTTGTTGTTTCTCCTTAAATCACAGCTGTTTGAATGTCTGTGTCTGTTACTAAAATATCTCATGAACAGACATGAAACTTGCAGAAGTTACCTACAACCGATTAACTTTCTGAGTCAACCCCATTAAAGATGTCCGCCACGGCCAACAGACCATGCGAAGCACTAAAATGTTTGCAACTGAGTCCGTTTTACTCACACTGAGCTGAAATTTGGTGTGGTAGTAGCTGGGAGTCATGGGAAACACACACTCTGAGTGCTGACAGATTTTTCAGTGTTTGGTTAAACTGTTGCCATTAACAGTTTGGAGTCAACTGTGTCTGTCTGTTAGCAAAATATCTTATGCATTGCTGAACAGATTTTATTGAACATTTCAGAAAATAATCACCGAATGCATCTTCACCATTGATTATCATTTGGAGTCAACTCAGTTCAAATTTTTTCTCACAGCTAATGGATATTAGTCAACACAGTAAAGGCCGTACCTCTGTCAGTTTTACAGATATTCAGCTAAAATTTAATGTGGTAGTAGCTGAGAGTTAAAAACTCTTATTTTGATATGTCACAGTATCACGTTTGGTTTTACGGCTTGACCAACACAGCTACAACTCCATCATCTTTAAATATACGAGGGTTTTAGTATAAAACTCTGGCACGAAAGGCTGCAGAAAGCTAGCCCTTTAATTTGTCCCAGTTTCCACAATGTTGATTTTTTTTTTTTATTTAACTGCAAAGGAGATTTCAACTTTATTTACAAATTTAAAGAAAGGAGGGAAACAAACAAAATAGGCTTTCTTTGCATTTAAAATGTCCATATAGCAGATGTTTGCTTCTTTATCCCACAATGCACCACACGGGGGAAGATTGTTTTAAGCAATTTTAGCCAAAACTTGAGAGATTTAATCCCGTCTCCTGACTTCCAGCCACCGTGTGACATCATCTGTAGGAGTCAGGCCACAGATGTTGGCCTGTTTGGATTGCTGCGCAACTAATCCAGGAAGAAAACAAATCCCCGTCCTTCAGGTTATGAGAGCAGCTTTAATTGGATGTGTGACTGCAGCCTTCTTGTTCGGCTGTCTGTGCGCTTGTTAAAAGGAGAAATCGTCTTTCAGAGGGTGAAATATAAAGTCGACCCTCTGCTGCTGACATCTTTGCACGCCGAGGACTCCTGTGACTGAAGATCGTCTTTCACCGCGTTTCACTCGGCGCTCAGACAGTGCTCCCAGGAGGACTGTGAAAAACCAAGAGCACTGGGGGATATTAACCCTTCTAAATGGAGTTCATACTTTATATTTATATTTCTAACCCTTTCACATAAACTTTTTTTTTTTTTGCTCAGCAGCTATAAAACAAAAGCGCTGCAAAACAAACATGTAAGAGAAGAAACAGGGATGAAACTGTTGGTGGAAATTAGGCGAATATAAAGACGAGGTACATAATACACATGTGGGCTTAACTGCTATGCAAATTCTGACAGCACTCCTTGAATGAATGCATATCACCCAGCCCTTGATTTGGATTGCCTAAAAAAAGGTATTCATTTATAAAGGTACGTTCAGTGAGTTTATCCTGAACGTTTTATTAAAATCCTTGAGAAAATCTGCTAAGAGACATGAGCTGACTCCAAAAACAGAACGGCAAAGGTTCAAACTAAGAGCGTGTGGCGTCTGTTAGCACTAACAGGATTTGTTGGGGCTCAGTTTCAGCTCTAAAGTGAATCAATTATAGATTTATTCATTTACTCATCACTTTCTGCACATTTCAATAACACTTGTCCAGTTGTTCATGGGATATTTAGCTAACAGACAGACACAAAGATGCACACGCCATAAAGCATTATTGTTTGGGCAAAAAAACTAAAATGTGACAATCTGCAAATAAAGTACTTTTAAGACAAGATAGAACTGTATTGATCCTGCAGGAAATTGTTGTGCCAGAGTTTCAGTACAAAGGAACATACACAAGGAATCACACAAGATATA